TTTTTAAACTTTTATTGTGAGGGTGTTTTAGCTAAATTATCAAATATAAGGGATTAAAAAATAATCTAAATAATAATATTAAAAAAAAAGGACAATTCAGTAATTAATATAATATACCCATAAATTTATTATAATCTAACCGAACACATTTTATATAACATTCTCAATAATCTTCAAAATAATTTATTTTTTCATTAATATAACAGAACTGAACGCCCCCTAATACAAATATAAGGCGTCACATCTTGGTTCCCCCCTGTGCATTTTCTGTCCACTGGTTATTGAAGTTCCAGTTTCTACCCTGAGGCTTTTATCCGCAGTTAAAAGTAGCAATAAATAATCACTTACAGGAAAAGTAGATACATGAATGGTTACCACTTACCACTATCAATCTACCAACCTTGTAGGAGTAACTTCATATGCTGAAAACATACATATTTTTACGGTAATTGTTAAAGTTTTGAGTCCAATAAAATAAAATTGAATTTTGAGAATATTAAAACAAATGTATTTTGGGTTTTTAGGATAGGATAGTGAAAAAATAGTGAAACAAATGCAGCCCATGATTTTAGTTTCCAGTTTCCACAGCTAACTTCCTTAGCATGCGAACATTGCAAAACAGAAGATAAAAAAAGTTGCAGGTGATGAATGAGCAAACCACAAAGTGACCTGATTTTTTAACTGAATAAATGCCACCAAGAAACAATCTCTGCTATTTAAGTGTTCATTTCTTGTAGTCAAATGGCCATCACAAAACATCTCTGTTATTTAAGTGTTTAAACGAACACCCAAAGATTCAAGTCGGATTTTCCTAGGGAGGTATCAGGAAGAAATTGGAATAGAAGAATATCAATTCATGTGTGCACACTTGAGAAGGACAGAGATAATAATCAAAGCAGAAAACCATCCACACAAAATATTTTTTCAGATTTAATCAAGTCAAAATTGTCTCCGAAAACAACAGTATAGTAAATCAAAGATAAAAATTAACAGAAAGCATAACTCATAGTTTGCCTCACTTCATTTTTGCCTCTGTAAACAGAACATGACGATTCACCCGAGGGTCTATTTTTCGGAACTCAAGCTTCCCAAAAGTTTCTTAGCACTCTTCTTCTTGACATAGAAGAATCCAGTCCCAGCAGCTGAGACAGCCGACAACATAAAACTCTTCTTCTTGTCACCCATCCCTCAAGTTACACACAAAAAAACCAATCAAATTAGCACAAACAATCACCCTAAGAAAGAGGCTGTGTGACAAACAAAGCAATGTCATAAAATTACTAGTCCAAACAGAATAGATGTCTACAAAATAAAAGCAATTTGTACACAAAATTATTATTTTGCAATACTACATAATCTCTATGAGTGTTGAAAAGAACATTCAAAAATTCAATTTTTAAGCAACAAAAATAACAACTTGGGAAATTTGAAGTACTTACTGTTGAATCCACGCAACAGTTACTAATGGGATCAGTGAGGTTGGTGAGACTGTGAAGTGAAACGAAACGACAATGCAGAGAACGAAAGAGAAACCCTAAGGAAACCCGAAGAAATAAACAAATGACCGAAATAGCCTTTTATTTTTTTAATTATTTTTAGTTGCGCATGTTAGCCTCAAACTTGGCGCACTTTAGTATGAAGCTGCAGTACCCTAAAACTCATCTCTCTCTCTCTTCAGTCTCTCGGCTGGTTCTCAGTATTGAAAAGAAAATTTTAATCAGGTGAAGAAAAGGTAAAAAATTACGAAGAAAAATTATATTTTTTTATTTTTAGGCTCAAACCGTGAATTTATCTCATTAATTACTGGTAAACCGTTGAATTACTGAATTGGTCAGGTTAATTTTTTCATTTCCCCAATTTGTTTCTTTCCTTTCGTTTTCTTGGTAACCGAACAGCATGGCGCTGAAAATTTCGGATTTTTGTTATTGTTTTGTTAGGTGCAGGAACCAATTGGAGATGGCGAGCGCGGTGGATGCGGCGGGAGATCCGATCCCAACGTCGGGGGTGCTAATGTCGGCGTCTAGCATATAGGGACGAGATGCCAACCGGAGAATGTTGAGTATTAAAATGCAAGAGAGTGATCCCAATCCAGAGAAAGTCTCGATAAAGGTCGCCAAGTTCCTCTTTGTGTCCTTGGCCTGTAGTGTTGGCTGATCATTATTAGGTTTTTTTTTTTTTTTTTTTTTTTTTTTTTGGTATCGAATGATTCTGTGATTTGAAGATGGAGAAATTTTAGTATTGTAGGTTCATTCTTAGTTAAAGCAGGTTCTAGTGTTATGCATTTTAGTCCAAGTTAATTTAGTTTCTCCTATCAAACAAATAATAAAGTCTAGCTTAATTTAGCCTTAATCGGTTACATTTGCATCTTTGATATGAAGTTTTGTTCTTGTATTCAGTTCAAACACGCAGTGGGTTTTTGAAATACCTTGCAAACTTCACTGCATGAACTCACAAAGTCTTTGAATCTTTGGTTGATTGGATGCAAGATAGGTGATTTTGGAAGTTTTTTTCTAAAGTGTTGTGTTGATTAATAATTTTCATATACATGGTACAAAGTAGTTCACATATGAAAACACGGATATATGCAAACCAGAAACAAGGATTAGTTTTTTTTCTTTACTGGAAACATATCTTATTTTGAGATATGATTTCTGTTATGCAAACTGTTGTATAGAGTTAATCTGAACCACCAAAGAAGTTATACTTAATGTGGGAGCATATAAGCTCAAAGCATAATGGGTCCATATACTCAGTTCATTAACTGTGTAAATCTTTTTTTCTTTTTTTTTTTTTTTTGGTTCTGTTTCTATTTCTGCTGCTGGCATGTGACTTTTAGTAATTGTAGGATTAAGATTAAACTCACCAGTTTATATTCAGCACTATATGTCAATCTAGATTGATGAGAACCAAACTCAGTAGTTCTGTTACTATCTACTCCTCACAGCATAATTAGTTTTATCAACATAATCTCTGCAATCAAGTGTATACGGTGCTAGTTGAATTTTTTAGATTCAATACTATATGTTTATAACTAATGAATAAATTATATATGTATTTATTTAATGGTTATTAAATATTTGACTTCTTAGGAAAAGAAACTACTCTATTTGCTATGAATCTGCCTTGACAGTAATATCTATTTTATATACCTATTTTAATAATTTGTTAAAGTAGTAATTCAATTTTTGATGTTGACATACTAAAACATGAAGTTAGATATACCATTTCCAGATAGGAACTAAGAGTAAACTTTAATTTATTGTCTCAAAATCGAACTGATTGTACTGTGGTAAACAAATTGAGCTATTAACTACTTGATGTGGCTTGTGAATCGAACTCAGAGTCTCAAAGAAGATAATATTTATGTTTTATTATCCAGTTCAAATAAATGAATCAACTCGGACAAAACAAGATAAATTTATGTTCATTAATCCACTTCAAATAACCTCCTAATCTTGTAAGTTTGACTCGTTTAGGACCTTGTTTCCTATACTCTTTATATTGTAGAACTCACTTGAGGCTTTGTATAATAAATCTTTTATATATTAAAGCTTTTCTTTTATCTCAAATGTCAAAACGACCTATCGGCAATCTTTGCCCTTCATTCAGATGTGAAATTCTTATTCAATGAATTACTTTCTAAAGTTTTTCAGTTTCGTACACTTAACTTGAATTGATATAAGCCTCTATCTGTTCCAAACGTATGCTAACCTCCGTAATCTTTCTTCCTGTGAAAGGGAATATCTTTTCTTTCTTGTAACGTTAGCGGCTATTTAATGAGCATCCCCTGCTGGATGAGAAAACCTGTAATGAATATAAAAGACTTCAATACTTGTAATAATTCCTTAAAATGATATTTGAGACTTCTTGATACACAACAAATCTTTCTTTATCTATCGCCTCCCAAACTTGCTCTTTCCAGCTCTGGATATGGTTGGTTCTAATCCAATAGGATATATTTCTGGTCCTCTATTTTGTTATGATAAGTACCTGTTATACAATTTATCTTTTGTTTACCTTAGGATGTTTTGTTTCTCATTGTGGGTGAATTGTTATTTTTTTATCGTCTGCTTTGTCTTCTCTTACCTCAACCTGTGTTCTGAATATCATGTTTTCTCCCTGCATATTAATGATTTTCTCTAGTAGCTGGTTCTTTCAAACACTCATCATGAATACTTTCTGATTTACCTCACCTTACAGATAGTACGTTTAATTTTCTAAATTATCGGTTTATTTTATCATAGAAACTGGCTAAATCCTCTTAGAAACTGGAAAGTGTCACCAAATGTGAGGTGTGCTAGTTGGTTGATTTCTAAATGCTGAAATATTTACCCTGCAGGCTAAAAGACCTTCATCAGAGGTGCACAAAGGAGATGGATGATTATGTTGGTTGTATGTATCCCACACAAATGAGTTCGATTTATGTCGCAAGAGCAGGAAGCATTTGAGAAGGCATGTCCTTGGAATGATTGGTGAAAGATACTTGTAATGCCATGCTCAGAATAAGGTCGATCACTTTGCAAGAGCAAATACTGTGTTGCCAACATTTTAATGTGGAACTTGCTTTTCACTATGAATATTCACCCTTTTGTGTGGTTGAGATCATTTGTTGAAATGTTTCTGATTCAAAAGAATGCCGCTCTACAAGCATAATTGATGACCTCATCATTTCTGTTGCAAGGAGGGCCGCTTTTGATATGTTTACTAGAATATGAATTTTTATTAACATCAACAGGGACCCAAAAAAAAAATAAAAGTTTCAAGGATGGTTCAACTTCAGCTGCAACTATATGATTACGACATTGATGTGTTGAACGTCTGACATTACTGGCAGATTATTATGTGTTGTTGCCTTAAAAGCTCACACCATTCAATTCTGGGTAAGGTATAACTAAATTAAAGTGTTCATCAGTAAGAAAAGGGTTCACGAAACAGAACAAAGAAATGTTACGCACATGCTAATGGGTCTATATTACCAACTGAATTGTCGATGTCTTTGTCGAGCTGAATGAGACATTTTATATTTTTCTACTAAATTAGTAAATTTAAAAACCCGTCCCTTGAAATTTAATGTACCCTCGAGGTCGAAGGCAGCCGGTATTGGCAAATGGCACCCGTTCCTGCATTCAGAATTGACAAAACAGGCGAATTGGTGGAGGAAATCACACGGATTTAGCTATTCCACAAATTATAAACACCAATTGACTAGTCTAGCAATATAAGATGGATTAAAGCATCAAAGATGAGCAACAAGTAGCAACATCAGTCATAAGTCATATACCAATAATCCTAGAGTTTTAAACACATTCATCTAGCTAAACTAATACTTGGGAGTACTCTTTCAACCAGCAACTACACGAACAGCACCTTGAGGAAACAAAACTTGACCAGCTATCAGCAAGGACTGCATGTAAAAAAAGATATAAACCGAATCATTTCACTGGCCACATGTAATCAATTCAAAATGGATGTGAGAAACAAACAGAACTTCCAACTGAAGGATATTAAGCTACAATCAAGGACAATAAAATTTACCTTCCATCCCTGAGAACCCCAAACATCTTTTTCTAGACTTGTGTTGTTACATTTATATTAGAGAAACCAATATCGCCTACCATAAGTTTAGGCGTTACTGCAACAAGTTATTCATTTTACTTCAGCATAGATTCTAATTCCAAAGCTATAAGCTATTCAATTTATTAGCCAAGCATATCGCAATGGCAAGCCCATAATTCAACAGATCTCCATTTGACAGCTAAAAGTAAAAATCTTATACATTTTTATTTAGGATATGAAACAACAGAATCCATGTTCCAGCACCAAATTACCTTGATTGGGGCATGTATAGAATTCTGAATGCTTTAATTAGTGTATACCAAACATACTTAGGTAAAAGAATAAGATTTAAGTTCCATTCCAACATCATCGCTACAAAAGGCTCCAGTAAATTCTGCTCACCACTATGCATCAATGAACTATATATCTTTTATCTTTAATAAATACCAAGCCAAGACCTAAATACACCCCAACCACTCAACTGTCACTCAACCACCCAAGAAGGCGTGTAGCCTTCACAAGGTTTCTGAACTCTCCAGATTCAGAACCTCTAGGTAAGAATAATATGGCCCTGAACTTCCGATTAAGAATTGATTAAGTCATCAGTAACCCCAAAGTTGAAGAATAAAAAATTGTTAACATTGAGGAGAAGATTAATTGCATCCATTCAACAAAAAATAGGAATTGAGAGAAGCAACTACCTGTAGAATCATGAACGAGACCTTGAAGGACTGCGACCATTACCCCTCGGACTCATTGACGGGCTAGATGCATAATTCCTCTCATCATGAAAACTCCGACCATTTTCCCTTGGACTTGGGGACCTCTGGTTTGACCTGTAGTCCCTCTCATCACGTGGAGAAGGGGACCGTGAGACAGATCTAGATCGCCTTGGGGAGCGATAATCATCCCTATCCCGATGATCCCTGTTTCAGTGGCAAGGGAAGACATTTATGCCCATGAGATATGTCTACAGTGAATACATGTATGGCAAATCTTTTAGACTAAAAAATAATGACAAAAACAAAATAAATCAGATTATAGAACAACTTAAATATATCCAGAATGAATACAACATAAAAAAAAATTGCATTTATATTTGCCACAATAATAAAGCCTCTTCCAATCTGTATGATCCATAAGACTTCAGAATGAAAGCCAACTCAGCACAACACGATAGATAATCAAAATTGAAAGAGATGACCTGTTTTAAGATGAGAAAGTTTTCTAGTCACATCCTCATTCAAAACTAATTGATCAAAATATGACTTTTACCTTTTCCATTGTTTCAGAACAAATATATAACACTTGGATCCAGACACTGAGAGTTAGGCTCTATTATGTTGTACTGATTGATCAGCATCGGACAACTTCATAGCTTCTTTGCCACAGCTTTCTAAAACCTCAAATTATGTTTTTTTCCTGGACAAAGCCATCATACCTCTCTACTGGTAAAAACTTTGAATAGCTTCCCTCTTTGAAGATGATTTCTTTCTTTGGCCAACTATATGCTCTTCCTATATTCTTTATTAACTGGATAGTATATGCAAAACAAGACATCAAACTTAACAATTTCTTATTAAAAACACTAGGTTTATAAGAAAAAGAAAAATATAAGGTACACATGTGATACTAATCATTTCTCACACCAAGTTTAGCTGCCCAGTTCATTCACTGGTAGCAACCCTCACTAACCAACGGTCAAAGAATAAGAAAAAGCCCATGCAACTGGTAGACAATAGCTGGTGAAGGTGAGATTATTGATAATCTTATGGAGTAGCTTTGATAGAAAGATATGCATGTTTTCCATGACTTTAGATCTCTTTCTCTTTAATCTCTATAATCCAGAGCCTTTAAAGTCTCCCTTTTCACTTTACTATCTGCATAAACAAGGTCACCAGCAAATATTATTCATATTCATCATAACACAAGACATTATCTCTAAGGGGAAAAAACCTCTGTACATTATTTTTAAACAGTCAGAAGGAAGGTCATCATGTAGAAGGCTTGGATGTCATGAGATTATTATAGTTGGTACTAAACCGGCAAGATTCCCCAAGCTTCCACCAAGAAGGAAAGGTTTCAATTTCAAAGCCAAAATTAATTCTTCATTTGCTTGGACGTCAATAACCCATTATGCAGCTGCAGTATATATGCTCACTAATGACAAGTGTCATAAAAATTTGATCGATTTAGCACCACTAAGAAATTGACATTAGTGATAAAGTAATGTAACACAATTAACAAGCTGACTGAAATTATCAAAATATCCAAGACAAATTACTTCTTTCCAGCCAGAAAAGAAGTATCAATATCATCATTGTTAGCTGTAAAAAAAAAAATAGTATACAAAAGCATGAGCCTTGATGGATATGCCACTTTCATTATCTGCCAAGATTGGCATACAAACTGCTTCAGATACCAATGAAATTTTTTTGGCATGCCAAAGCAGTAGTATCCCAAACAATAAATAAAAAACCCACAAGATGTCTGATGATGATGTGCATAGTGTATGATACCAACAAAGAATGAATGAAATCAGTTGATCAGTCGTTTTACATAAAATAACAAATATAAGAATTCATATCTATGCTTTACAAGAAAGAGATTAAAACTCTTAAATCTTCACATAGATAAATTCAATACCTTGAGCCATGCCTCGCTGAAGGTGAGCCGGAGTAAGCTGGAAACAAAACATAAATAATGATTTAGCACAAATTTTAAAGTAGTAAAAAAGTCTATCACCATCAAGAATATTTTCAGACATGTAACAGACAAACTTGAACATGGTTGTCTCAAGAAGCTCAAACAAGCAAAAGAAAAGTCAAACTTACAACGATATCGGCGTCTGGGGGACCTTGGTGGTGTCCTCCTATGGCTTCCTCCATGTCGACCACTTTAAATGAAGTATAAAAAGAAAAATACAAAAAAAAAAAAGGAATAAATAACTACTTGATTGAATCAAATTTTATTCATGCGGTTTAAATAGTTGAAAGGTAGTGTTCAAAGAGGAAGACAAAGACAAAAACTTTCTTCGGTCATACCTCACACGGGTACTCAAACGCATCTCTTGAGGAGTTTTCCTATTCTCCTCAGCAAAGACAATTTTTATCTCACGTCCACCAATGAGTGTGTGATTCAACCGTTGCTTTGCTTCAGTTGCATCTTCACCATAGCGGAACTTCACAAATCCAAAGCCTCGTGGCTCCCTGCGAATTCCAAGCACACAATGCAACACCATGAATTCAAATACACTATGACCACTTAAAATCAAATGATTGAAATTACAGATGAGAAAAGCATTTAAATGAACTGTTATATATATCAATCATCTGAAGAAGGATCTATAAAGCAGTGACCAAGCTGTTATCAGCCTGTCTAGCGTTAATTAGAAGCACTAGAGTAATGTGCAAAATAGAACAAAACACAAAATCCAAAAACTGAAACAAACGTCAATGAGCATCAAAAGCTAAAGCATACCCAGTGTAGTAATTTTTTGGAAGATACACATCCTTCACCGGACCATATCTCTCAAACGGAATCCTAAGATCCTCCGGCCTGCACAGTAAAATGAAACTCTTAACTACTAAACCAAACAAAATATAAAATTGACAAAAATATGTATGTTCCCACTAACAACTCGTGAAGCAATTTTCTCGTCTTTCTTAGGTATTAGAATCATTAAACTTTGACATAGTTCAATAATTAAACCATAACGAACAAAAGATAGACAGAGCTGATAAAATCCAAACAAAAAGAAGATAAAAAGACCTGGCGTCGAGAGGGAGGTTTCGAACAAGCAAACCAGAAGGACCGGGAGAGCGGCGGTCGCCGTAAGACCTGCGGGGCTCATCGTCGTAACGCTTCCTGCCACGTACACGGGGGCTCCTGCTACGGTGGCGAGGGCTGTAGCTACGGCTACGACTCCTATACCTAGCCATAACCCCTTCAATTTGGGAAGAAACAACACAATTTAAAAACCCTAACCCTAACTGAGAGAGAGCCAGGGAATTTTCGAAATTTTGGAGGGAGAGAGAAGTACAATAAAGCGGGGACAAGTGAAGTAAATATAGCTAATTCCTCACGGTCTCACTTTTCTCTGATAATAATTACTAATTAAGCAGCATTTTATATATACAGAACTTTTATTCGAAAGCACTTTTTAAGTGTCTTTTGTTAAAAAAAACAAAAAAAAAAAAAAAAAACTTTTAAATATTTGTACCAAACACTGCTTTGTCATTAAATAATAATAATAATAGACTTAAGGATAAGGTTAATCAAATAATTACATATTGCACAAATAATCAACATTTTGTAATAATCTTTCGATATTATATTTTATTTTATAGTCTTTTTTATCAGTTTTTTGCCTTTTATTTTCTCTTTTAAGAAAAAATCGTTAAAGAAAAAAAAAATTGTTCAAAGCGAGGAACTTATTATATTTGAAAAAAAGCAAGAAAATAGCAGGTTTAACTTAAACGAACTTGGTGTAATAAATGTTTAGTTCATGTTTCTGCCTAATAACACAAATTTAATATTTTTTAAGGGCTTGTCACGATTAATTTGAAAAAATAAATTGTCCAATTAGTATATATATATATATATATATCACGTTACTTTGGGACTGCGTTTGGCTAGAGAGTATTAGAGATTACTGAAATATTGTCATCTTATATTACTTAATTATCATTTTTTATTGTCAAGTAATATAAGATTTCGGTAATCTTTTAAAATCAATAGTACTTATTATTAGTAATTTAGGAGGTAATCTAATTACCTTCAATTTCTAAAGTATTTTAAAATTACTTGGTAATCTCTTTTTTTCTTACAATTTTATCCCTTATTACTAAAATTGTAGGACAATAATGCCCTTGTTTTTTAATTAATTTACATGAATCTAGCTATTACATTTTTACCCAATTAATTAACCTTTTGGACAAAATTACCCTTGAATTCAAAACAAATTGCAGCCCACCCAAGCCACCACCCCCCACCACCTGCCACTGCTGGCCAACACTGTCGGAAATGGCCAAATCGATGCACAAAGGCCATTTTCGGCCAACATGTGTCGTTGGGTTCCCAACGGCCAAAAGTGGCTAGGTTGGTAGGGGTGCATTCGTTGATTTTCCAAAGTTTTATTATGGGCTTGTTTTTGCTAAGTTTTTAAATGTAGGGGATTATATTAATAATCTAAATAATAATATTTAATAAGAGGGCAATTCAGTAATTTAAATAACATACCCACCAATCTATTCCTCCCAACCAAACATATTAAAATAACATACCCACCAATTTATTCCAAATACATTTCCCTAAACATTCACAGTAATCTTCAAGGTAATTTATCTTTCCGTGAATACAACATTCTCAATAATACAATATTCCCTAAACCAAACGCACCCTAATTATTAATTAATAGTTTCTTTTATAATTAATTGCACTTCACAATTACTACATTAATTATCTCATAAAATCAAAACAATTGAGATAAAAAATAAATAAATAAAAAAATTGATGCTTGTTCTGTCGATATCCAATTAGTTGTAGACTTTGGGCATTTAGGTATCCGAGTTTAAGGAGTAGATCTTACATATCTTTAGTTGGATCAATGTTTAAGTTCGGATTTTTAGTTAAAAGTCTAAGTTTAATCAAGTACACTGATCGTATAGTTTAAGATAGATATGATTAGTAGTTATTCTTATCATTTAGTCTCAAAACTCTTTTTGGACCATTTTGTTTTTAATTTGACTAATCTTTTAGGATACTGAAATTAATGATCGGGTAAACTTTCCAATGGCCACCCTTATTAGCAACTAAGGGGAATCGAACTCAAATTCTCTTAAGTAATACATCAAATAATCCTTATTGCCCCATTTGACCACCAAATTGTAGTTATTGAAACGCTCTTTTATAAAGGTGAAGGATTTATGGTGTCTAAGCTAAAGGGTGAAATAAAATTAGATTTTACAACTTCTGTACAATGTACACCCATTTTTCCTCTACGTGGATGATAAGAAAAACTAGCCATTGGTGATGAACTCTTCAAGTAATGAGAAGGGTCAATCATTAGTAACAAATTTTAAGCGATGATACAAGTTTTCTAACCTTAGAGCATCTCTAATAGTACTCTTTATTTTAAAGAGCATATTTCATGTAAATAAGGAACGTCTTCGTTAATTTCTAAATATAAAAAAAAAAAAAAAAATTATTCAAATCCAATACTCTTTAAATTTTAGGAGAGAGAAAACGTTTTTTTCAATAAAATGACTTAATAGAAAAGAGAATAATAAATAAAATACATAGAAACTTGTAATTTATTAATTAAAATTATAATAGAGAGTGAAATTTGACTCTCTAGACGTGGAGAGTTAAATTTGACTCTCCAGTTTTAATTTATATTTAAATAATAAAGAGTCTGTTGGACTCTTATTTTTATGGATAAACTCTTTATAATAAAGAGTTTGGATCATATAAAGATTCCTTTAGAGATACTCTTATAGAAATGAATTTTTGAGTAATGAGATTTAAAAAAAAAAAAAAAATTTGAACCCGTATGATAGCATCACTGGTCTTGAGATTTTCATTTCAAATAATTTTTGACATAATGAAAATTCTATCTTGTTCTTAGTACTTACTAGACCTGGCAAAACGACTCCAGATCGGCGAGTCAACTTGTACCTAGGTAAAAAATATAGGGTACAGGTCTCGTACACTGAACCTGTACACGACCCAGCCCATAATGCCAGCACATGACCACACATTTCTGCGGTTCAAAACACCTATAATATGTATGAATACAATTAAACAAAGTTGAAGTAATTCACCCATCAATCAATCGAGACTATAAAATATAATGGCACATTTTAAATCATTTATGATTTTAAATCATTTTGGTCAAGCCGGTAGTGAGCCAAAAATGCCAATCTTCAAAACTTCAACACCCGAATTCAATCCAACCCAAATCAACACAAACTATTCACAATCAAGCACAAACAAACTCCGATCAACCATAATATACAAGCTCCTTGTAAAAAACCCAAAATTCACCATTAACCCAATTTCACAAAAGTCGCAATGAACCCAAGAGAATTGACAAACGATGGACGGCGAACGGCAGGTAGCTAAGTTAAATGACATCCAGATATTTCAGTTTTTGATGATAAGTAGGTCCTGGAAACTTATTCGAGAGATTTTTGAGGTTTTGGAGATAAATGCCATCTAGATATTTCAGTTTGACAAGGTTGGATGAGCTTAGCTGAGCAGGGGTTGAAGTGAGTTGGATGAGAGAAAAGGAAAGGAAAAGGAAAGAAAGTTTTATGCCTAAAAAATCAAGGCTGACGCAAGCTTATGTTAGTCAGCGCCAATCAGAGTTCAGGAAGGTTTTGTGTCGTCCAAGAGCTGCCACATCGTCAAAAGACAAAAAGAGTATAGTTGTCATCAACTTGGCAAACTCAGGCTTTGTCTACAAGTGGATGGGAGTCGCCCACCTGTCAAGCCTTACGCGATTTAAGGATATATGTCGTGTAATCAGCCAATGGGAAGCGCGATAGGAATTGTACTACACCTGCTCACATGCAGACTTGTAATCATTACCCTGAAACCTTATATTATAAATAGAGGGCTCCCTCTCTCATTTTTGGGATTCTGATAAAAAACCCACATTCAGATTGTAACATTTTTCTCTCAAAACACAGATAACCCGCGGGAAAGAGACTGACTTGATATTCTCTCTGAACAATCAGTCACTTGTACCTCTGCTCGTTATTCGCTATACGCGACCTCCTATAACCTCATAAATATATAAAAGAACAGTGAACGTAGGATCCGCTTTAAGCATCTGAACCACTTTAAAAATCATCTTCCATTTACTTCATTGCATTTTCCATTCACGTGTAATTTCTAAGCCAGCTTAGCACTTTGCACGTGCGAATCATTGGTGTCCAAATCAAGCATCAATAGTTTGGCGCTACAAAAAGGGCATGATTTAGTATCCGCTCTTCATCAAGAATCTCTGATCAACCAACTCTGCTTACTGACAAATGGCTCGTGGTTTCGAAACCGAGCAAACTAGCCCAACCCCGAGGAGATCCCCCAGGTGCAGGATGATACTTCTTCTGAAGTACCTCCCATTCTGCAATTCTAATTTCACAAACTTTTGGGAAATAAACATTAGACGTCGGATATTTTGTTCCGGAGAACAAGTTTGTGGCAACATAAAATATTTTCAACTTTGAACAAACTTGTTCTGCCAACTCCCATTCCTCCTCAGTTGGCAAACATCTATATTGTGGCTCACGAAGCTTTAAACGAAAAAACACATATTTGTAAATGAAAGCAGTTTCAAGCATTAAATAAGTTGAGTTCCAACCAGTCTTACAGTCAAGAGCCAACTTCTTCGTACTTTCAATGCCTTCTTGATGTGACGCTTAAACAAATTTTTGCTCTCTTTTAGGAGATGCTGACCGATAAGCAACACTCTCATGGATTCTTGCAATTACTTGTCCAATCACCGATAATCCATCTTGAACAATTAGATTCAGAACATGCGTACAACAACGTATATGAAACAATGAACCACGTAGCATAAGTGAGGCACTTGGAAGTTCGTTCAAGATATCTTCAACAACTGTATCATTGGTGGAGCAGTTATCAAGCATCAATGTCGACAACTTTCTATCAATATTCCACTCATAAAAGCAGTCCATCAATGTCGCAGCAAGCACATCTCTAGTATGTGGGCAAGGCACATATACAAATCTATAACATTAATTATATATAAAAAACAATTTTAATATAGCTACAAAAATCGTATTGAAAAATAAGAATAATAAAACCTTAAAAGATAATACCTTATGAGTCGACTTTGTAAGACCCAGTTGTTATCGATAAAGTGTGCTGTGATCATCATATATCTTTTGTTTTGATTGTTGGCAGTCCATAAATCCGAACTAATAGCAATCCCACTCCGGTTTTTGTTTAACAATTTCATTGTCTTCTCTTTTTCTACATCATAAATCTTGAATATATCTTTCTTAATAGTGTTTCTGCTCACAACCTTAAACAACAGTTGCATGTTGTTACAAAATTTCCTAAACCCGTAATGATCAA